GTATAAAGTTCAAAAAATCACAAAACAAGTAACAGAATAACCATTCCTAAAGTTCAACAGCCCGCATAAAATTTATTCAAACCTTAAATAGTTGTGTTTTGTAAATTCTTAAACAGTGACTACATAACTCATGAATCATATCATATTCATTAATTAAGTTCATAAGATAAAAGAAGCAATACCTCTATGCTAGGAAAATGAGCAATACCTCAACAAAGGAACCAAGATCTAGCATTCACTCAAAAATGAAAGAAAACAAAAGTGGATTATTGGCTTTTAGGTGTCAAAGTCATGAAAAATTACTATCTAAAAAAGCAAAAAAGCACGGCAAGATATCAACACCAGCACATCATTTTTACATAAGTACAACAAAGTATATGATGGAAATTATTATTAATGCAGTAAGCATCTTTTTTCTTTTTTTCTTTTTTTTTTTGGGGGGGGGGGGGGGTTGGGGGAAGGGTAGGGGTTGATTTGGCAAACATTTAAAGCAAATTTAATTTTCCAAATTCGACCCAATTTATCCACAAAGGAAAGAAAGAACATATTATCATGTGCTATTTTATTGGAATTGCATAGCAATGATACAAATCCACCAATCAGCATATGCTCTATCACTCATGAATTCTACAATGCCAAAACTACAACAATTACATTCCATGGGAAAGAAGATGGAAAAATTAAAAAAAAAAAGATTATTCTAGTGTTCTTTTGATACAGGTTGTGCCTGCCCAGCAAAATGTTTACTGATCACAAAACTTCTTCAAAGTAGGACATGATATCCCTCCTTATATGGCATCATTAAAGAAATATGAAATAACGCTAATCGGGCAATGAACAGAGAAATGTTAAAAACAATGATAAGAATGATAATGAACAAGAATTTGGAGGATCCTACCACAAATCAAAGAATGAATTATCCAGCAGCCTTCTTCCCACCAGAATAGTAACTGAGATACCACCTGACAAATTTCTTCAACCCAGTCTGCAAATCAGTTGAGGGATTATACCCAAGCTCCCTCTGAGCCAAGCTAATATTGGCATGAGTAAACTGAACATCCCCATTTCGCGGCAACTTCATAATATTCCTCTTTGCTTTAACCTTCAAAAGCCTCTCCAAGATACTCACAAGATCTGAAACTGGCACAGGCGAAGTATTTCCCAAATTGTATACCCTCAATTGAGCCGGACCCTTCTTCTTCCCTCCACTACCAGTACTCTTCTTAGCAGTATCCAATGCTGCCAAACACCCTTTCACAATATCATCAATGTAGGTAAAATCCCTAGCCACCGTACCATGATTAGCTGCCTCAAATATTGGTATCAACTTCCCCTTCAAAATATCCTTAGTGAAAAAGAAATATGCCATATCCGGCCTTCCCCATGGGCCATAAACCGTGAAAAACCTCAAACCAGTTAAAGAAAGTCCATATATATGATTATAAGTGTGTGCAATCTCTTCACCAGCTTTCTTAGTAGCAGCATATAAACTAGCAGGCTGATCAGTTCTATCTATCTCAGAAAATGGAACTTTGGTATTAAGCCCGTAAACAGAACTCGAAGAAGCCCACACAATTGCAGGCTGTGGATTAGCAGACTTGCAAACTTCAAGCAAACTAACAAGACCAGCAATATTGCTATGCACGTAAGAGCTAGGATTTTCCATAGCATACCTGACCCCAGCTTGAGCGGCCAAATGCATCACGTGGGTAAATGCAACAACCTCGAAAAGTTTCCTTAAAAGAGCCGAATCATTGATATCTCCTTCCACAATGAAAACCCCACTTCGTTCCAGAAGCGCTTGCCGAGCTCTTTTTAATGAAGGGTCATAATAGTCATTGAAATTATCAAGTCCAAGAACACCATCTCCACGCCTTTTCAAAGCAACCGACACGTGGGTACCGACGAAACCGGCAGCTCCAGTAACCAAAACGGAGATGCCGTTGCGGGAACGGACACGGGCAGAGGAACGGACCTGTTTTTCCCAAGCGGGTCCACCCCAGTTGTAGGTGCGGAGAGAGCGGCGAGAAGGATCCTGAGGAAGGGGATTGGAGGATGGAGATCGAAAGAAGAAGATCAAGATCAGCCCCAAGAAGACAAAGGACCAAAATGTGAGCTTTGCAAGAGAGGAGTGCCACCTCAGTCTATTGTGAATGTACGGTGATTTTTCCATCTTGAATTTCCCTGGCGTCGATGGAATGTTGTCAAGATGAGACATTTGTTTTGACATTTATGAGGAGGTTATTTGGATTTCTTGTTTTCTCTTTTTGTATTTTCAGGATTAGGGTTTGCAGAAATGGATTTTTTTATTTGAAGATTATTCTGATTTGGCGGTGCTGGTAGCGATGGTGGTGGTGGTGGAGGAGGAGGAGGAGGAGGCGCAGTTGGAAAGGGATGTTATTTGGGGGTTTTCAGGGGGTCGGTGGTGATGGTGGACGAGTTGCTCTTTGGCTACCTTTTTCCTATTTTTGTGTGGAAAATGGGGAATCTTCAGGTTTCTTGAAAGGATGGTTTTGCTTGTTGGCCGTTTCTCTATTGGGTTTATAGCTGTTTCAATGGCTCCAAAGAGAATCAAGATTTGATTTTTGCTTTAAGAAAAAAATAGTGAACCTTGTGGGGGAGAGGGAGAGAGAGAGAGAGAGAGAGAGTTACGAAGGTGATGGGAGATCAAGAAGAGTCAAACAATTTCATTCAATGAAATGGGTTTAAAAATCGGGAGGTTAAGATTTTTTTTGTTGCGATTTTTTTTACATTTTCTTTTTCAATTGCGGTTTGAGAGAAATAAGAAATACTAGTGCTAGTAAAATAAGATCAGCTTTGTCTAATTTTCTTATGAGTGAGGTGAGAACTTTACTGGTCGGGGAGGCCTTGGAAATTGGGGGCTACCAGCTTCGAACCCCCTTTGTTTAAGGATAATTGGCGTCGCAAACCCTTAATTTGGGGAGCGTTATTATAGGGTTGTGAAAAAAAATAAACATAAAAATTGATGTAAAATTGTAGTATTTAATTTAGTTTAGATAATTTTTTATTTACTTTGAATTAAATTTTAATATTAAATATATATTAAATTAAAATTAAAAAAATTAAATTGAATTATATATTTTTATGAATTTATATATTTTTAAATTTTTATAAAATAACAATAATTATTTTATATCTAATTTTATTTAAATATATTAAAAATCATATTAAAATAATACATGAAAAAATTAAAATTTTAAAAATTGATAAATCAAAATAAACCAGTAAAATTTAATCTAAATTGAATTTGATTTAAATTTTAAAATTATAAAATTTTATGCATTATTTAAAAAATCAAATCAAATTTGATCTTATCAAAATTATTATTACTCTAAATATACAATTAAAAACTGAAAATGGGTATTTTACTAGTCTTGCTTTATTTTAATATTAGTAATTGTTTTCAACCACAAATTACTTTGTAAATTTGTTGTATTTTTCCTGAAAATGTTATCAAATGAGTAATCAATTGTTTTTGGAAATTACAGTTTGGAAATAAAAAAATTACTGCACGAATTACAAAAGGGAAAGAAATCTAACAAAATATAATACAGATTTGAATTAATTTTCTGTAAATTTATGACATAGGATACGATCTCAATCTAATGAGAGAGAAAAAGCAGTCAGAATTTGTGAGCGCAGGCAGGCAGTACAAAAGTGCGAAACAGACTTGAAATGAAGGCAAAAGCAACTTTCCATGGAATTTTCTTTAGAAATCTTAGATTGCAATTTATGTTAAGCTAAGCTAAGCTAAGTTAGCATCATGTGGATTGTAGATAGCATAGCAATTCACATAGTTAAGTTTGTAGAAAAAATTACACAAAGCTCAAACAAAACTTTTACTTCATTTAAAAGCTCTTTTTGTGACTCAAAATAAAGAAGAGTGATCTTCAAGAATTACACCAAACTCTGACCCATAAATTCCATACCTACACAATGCCCCTCACCCATCACCATTGAAGAAAAACATCTGACATTTTGATGGCTTATAAAATATGAACCCCAGATTTCTTTATAAACTTAGATGACAGAAGGTGTTGTTTCAATGGCCGCAGAGTGCCAAGAAATTGGTTTTAAACAGCCTGCTTTATAATTCACATTCTACTGTAAAATCTTTATTTTGCTAGCTGCAAAAAATTTTCCTCGGGTGTGTATCTTTGTGTGTTTTTCCTCGACCATATGGCATGGAGTCTTTATTAATGGTGAGAGAAAAGAAGATTCTAAGATTAAATTTCCTCGCAGCTTCCACCCACCCCATGTGAGGATCTGGTGGAAAGGAAGCCGAGAAAAACGTACTTAGTCATCCTTTCTTTATAGCTGGCATGGCAAAGCGGCACATGTTCCATGCCTTGCTAGTTGATGTAAGCTGGAACTTGGACTGGATGACATGATTTTGTTAAAAGTGCATTTTTTAATAATTTCATGACCCATGCTCAATGACTAGTTCTAGTACACTTTTTTCTTTTTGGCTTTGGAATTCGCCATAGTTTAAGAGTCATTGGCTCTTCATCGATGCAATCTAAACTGCTGCTGCCGCTCCATAGATTCCACCTTGTTTCTTTTCCTAGTTCCCACAATAATGTTTCCACTGAAACTAGCTCTCAGTGCAAAATATATGGGAAATTTCTGTTTTCATGTACCTCGGAGAACAAATCTTCGTGGGAGAAATTTCTTTCTCTTTTCCGTGATGAGAAAAAGGACACGGCAAAACGTGTGTGCCCTTGAAATATTAATTGAATAGGCAACGCAAAAAAGAATTAATCCTCAATTGAGTTATATGTTGTTTAATATTACAGTCTTCATGACAAGGATCAAGCACCAAAAGTCATTATTCACTACAAGTGGAAAATAAATAATTTACAGTCTGGGAAGAAAATGATAGCAAACTCAACTTGCGGATATGAAACATCACATACAAGGTTCAACTGCTCTCTCTCATCCTCTTCTTCCTCTCTTGTATAATAAAGTAGAAGAACCGTTCAATGCTTTGTAACCCTCTCGAGAACTTCAAAGTAGTCGGGGAAGGTTTTCCTTGTACAACCAGGATCCTTGATGGTAACTGGAACATCAGCACAGGCGGCAAGTGAGAATGCCATGGCCATTCGGTGATCATCGTAAGTATCAATTGCTGTCACATTTAATTTCTCCGGTGGAGTGATCACACAATAATCTGGCCCTTCTTCAACTGTTGCTCCGAGCTGAAATATGAAACCAAACAATAAAGTAAGAAAAAAAAAAAAAAAACTAGCACCATCTAAAGAATTTTTATAAGCATAAAGCTAGCTAGAATATACCTTCCTGAGTTCTGTGCATATAGCAATCATCCTTTCAGTCTCTTTCACCCTCCAACTTGCCACTGAAGAGAACCAGGGAAGACGTCATTAGATTAAATATAGTACAAAGGCTATCAATAGTCTTTAGTTGAGAAGACGAGGAAAGAAACATATTTCAACATTTGCATACAATGTGAGGAGCAGCACCAGAAATAAGAACACTTATGCTCAGAAATACCAATAATCAAAAGGTAAAGATCACATTTAATCCAGAGGCATTTTGGGCGTGAAGTTTCCCATTAAAAAAGATTCTTTTTGTGGTGACATTTGTTTTCCTTTTATGCCTTTCATGCATACCAAAACATGTTCATCTTAGAGAAAGAAAAAGCAAGATTCTACCATCTCTTATAGCCGTTGGACCATCAGCATAAAGAGCAACAACAGCGAGAGTCATGGCAACATCTGGCATTTTGTTCATGTTGATATCAATAGCACGTAAGTGTTTCCTCCCAGAAGAATTTCTTGGGGGTCCAATAACAGTGACGTTGTTCTCAGTCCAGGTGACTTTGGCACCCATCTTCTCAAGAACCTCAGCAAATTTTACATCACCCTTAATCATAAGAAAAACCAAGAAAAACAAGCATGAGTTTATGTTCAGATGAGAACAAATTCCAAGGCTGTAGCGGGAAAACCATTTCGAATAATCAATTAAAAAGGATTTGAGATCAGTCTCAAAGACAGGCAAAACAATTCAACAACACTTTTAAAAAGCATAAGACAATTTGAAAGAAATCAAAAGTAAATACTTTCACTCATACTGGAAATATCTGATATGGATTGGTTGGGAACTTGATAACATTCATGGACTTCATATAAAAGTACCTGTAAACTACTTGTACCGCATCCTTCTACTGTGACAGTCCCACCAGTGACAGCTGCACCAGCAAGGAAGTAACTAGCACTTGAAGCATCACCTTCAACATAAGCATTTCCAGGAGACCTGAAAGATTTATCAATTTATGACTTTTAGTCCAAACAGAGTATAACATTGTGCAGCAAGGTACGAGAGTGAGAGTCATAAAAACCTACTTGTACTTTTGACCTCCTCGGATAAAAAATTGATCCCAGCTGTCAGTGTGATCTACAATGACTCCAAACCTTTCCATCAACTTTATAGTCATTTCAACATATGGGATTGAAATCAATTTATCAATTATCTCAATTTCCACATCACCAAGAGCCATTGGAGCTGCCATGAGCAAAGCAGTCAAGTATTGACTACTGATTGATCCAGAGAGCTTCACCTGCAAAAGGAGCCACACCAGAAGTATATCATGAATATCGGCAACCACATCCAGAAGTTAAGTCTTATACTCATAGTCTATTTCCGTTTTACTTTTGGGCAAAATATAGTCTTTTTTTCCTTCACACAACCTAGAAGTTAAAATAAGAAAACGAACACAAAGCTTCAACATCACAAATAATCTAAAGTTTCAGGCTTTTAAAATAATGAATGCGATACATTTGCTAAAACGAATAGTTTGAAAGAAAAGAGAATCCACTTTCCCACTCCTTTAGCATTTTCAAGAATTTAACATCATGGGTTCCTTTACCAAAATAGCCCAAGGAAGATATGCACCACATTAGTGGTTAATGCTAACTGGTTAACAAGATCAATCATTCACGTGTATACTAGAAAAGCAACATCCGGGCAACACCTGCAAGCAAATACCAGACAAAGGAAAATCCCAAAAAAGGAAAAAAGAAAAAAAATCCATAAAAAAGGTTCCTCCAACTGCCATAAGTCTTATTTCACCAGATAGCATTACAAACTAATTCACATCCATATATCAATAGAAGGTTAAAGCATTGGCTTTCACAAGTATGGAGATTGACAGTTTAACATAAGATAATATTTATTGCACAATGACATGGAATAGAAGCTCATTTCTTTCGGTAGCTTATGTCGTTTTCAATATCTAACTTAGAGAAGCAATTTAGGCCAAGGTTCTTGGATGACACCTTTATAAAAACAGTTAACCCATTGACAAGAAACCACAAGAACATAACGAAAAAAATTTTAAGCCATACCTTTCCCCCAGGGAGACCACCCTTTCCATTTATATGAACAGGGGGACAATCTGTGCCAAGAGTACAATCAACATCGGCACCCAACTGCTTAAGGCCAGTAACTAAGTCTCCAATTGGTCTCTCTCTCATTCGGGGTACACCATCAAGTATGTAGCTAAGATCATGGGTAACATATATGCATTAGCTAAAAAAAATGATAGGAATACACAAAGCAAAGAACATCAGCATAAAAGCAGATAGTTCCATGCATATACAACTTTTGTTTACTCAACTAATAAAATACAGTGAGCTGATGCCATTTTTAACAGTCGGATTCCTTTTATAGAGAACAAGCCACTGTAAAATGACAAAATGGTTCCATTTCCGCATAATATCTTAGTTAAAATGAAAATAATTGGACGGACCTTGAATTGCCACCTGCAGCCGTAACAGCAGCAGTAAGAGGTCGCATCGCAGTTCCAGCATTCCCAAGGAAAAGCTCAATTTCCTGACCTTCCCCTTTGCCTACTGGAAATTGACCACCGCAACCTTCCACAATGGCTCGTTTCTTTTCATCGTCATGTTCCACACGTAGCCCAAGTTTTCCCAAAGCGACAAGCATGTGATGAACATCATCACTGTTCAACAAATTGTCTACCACAGTAGTTCCCTACATATCGAACACACATTAAAACATAAAAATAATTAAAGAACATAAACACCAACTTTAAATAGACTATGAAATCAACATGCCTCCGATAGAGCAGCTAGAAGCAGAATTCGATTGGATAGTGATTTGGACCCGGGTAACTTAACCGTACCCGAAATTTCATTAATTGGTTGAAGCACGATTTCTGATGCTCTGGATGGCTTCTGTGCTGTTACCGTTGAAGCAGAAACCTTCAACGGTCCAACCCTTATTGTTCCCAACTTGTCACTGCTCTCCATAATCAAACCCCAAGAACTTGAAAAACTTCCTTTGAGATTTGATCTGAATGAAACTGAAGGAACAGATTTGGGCTTCTGGAATTTTAAGACATTGGGCAAAACACATGTTTTTTGTGTTCCACTGCAGATTTTGCTAACCTGTGCCATCTCTCTCTAACTTTTCTGATTACAGGAAATTTTGTGCCTTGATTTCTTTTTTTTTTTTATCTCTAAATTGAGAGTGAAATTATGGGATTAAAAGAAAAACACTTTGTTTTGATGGTGGTTGTTGGATTGACTCGGTGGATAGCTTCACCAACCAACTCAATGCCACCAGAAAAAAATGGTGATGTTCGGAACGGTGCTAGAGCGAGTTATTATTTTTCTTATATTCGAAAAATTCAGGGTTTGCTTTGGAGTAGTTGTACCTTGTGCTGCAAGCGATTGTTCTTCTTAAATGAAAAAAAAATTAAAAATATACAACGCCAAAATCAAATTGGGGGATTTGGTTCTGTCCCAGTCCTCTCCAACCCAGTTTGCCTAACGAGACCCACAGGACCACAGGCAACTTGACAGGTGGCCACGAGATTACTCAAGCCAGTGGCTATTTCGGTTATCTTTAGGCCTTGCCCAAATTTTCGGAAAAAAATGTCTGTTTCCCACTCATTCTGCTTTGGGCTTTTGAGTGCTGATGAACCTGTTGATTTATTCGTTCCTTAAGCTTGTAACATGAGAATTGTGAGTTCGAGATATATATATATATATTCTCAATCCTCTCCGATCTCCAAATCTCAGTACATATAAATTTAACTAAATAAATGAATCTAAAAAGAAGCAGGCCCGTCTTTGACCAAATTAAATGGAAATAAAGAAAGATGGGGACAACGACGAAGGGTAGAATATGGTTACTGCACTGCACTGCACTCGCTTGGGGTTTGGGTAGCTATACTGTTTAGCAGATGTAGGTGGTGGCTTATGGGCTGGGTAGGTTTGAGTTTCCAACTTCAAAGCCAGGAATAAGCAAAGGTTGGTGCATGATTGCTCGGATTGGATTGCATTTTTGGCATTTTCTGACTTAATTACCAAATAGACAGTACACAGTAGTCAGAGGCATATGAAAGTTACATGATAAGAGTAGATTTAATAATTTAAAATTTGATATAAAAAATATAAATAAAAATATAAAAATAATATAATTTAAAATTTTTAAAAAATTATAAATAAATTTGATAAAAAAATATTTTATATTTTCATATAAACATAAATAATGATATGTAATTTTTATTGAAAATATTATATAAATATTATATTTTATATAATATAATGATACAAATTATCAAATTTAAGTGAAAACATTTATAGACACTTTAAAATTATAAAATAAAAAATTTTGAAAGTTGATAAAATTTTTTTCTAGCACCTCCAAAATTTTAAATTTTTTTATTGAATGATTATTTAATTGTATATTTTTAAATATATATTTATTAATATTAACAATAATATAATTATATTTTTTAAAAATATAAGAATTTATCTTGAATAATTATAATAAATATAAAAATATATTATTTCAAAATTTTATTTATAATTTTTTATATATTATAAATAAACATTAAAAATTTATGAATTTATCAATTGATCAATAGTACAATCTATGTATGTTAAATTTTGTAAGAGGTCAACATTTAGTAACCTTCGAGTAAAGCTATGTTTGCTTAGCTTTGCCATCTCATTAGGTATGCTTGGAGTAGTTGTACCTTGTGCTGCGAGGGGTTGTTCATTTTAAATGAAAAAAAAAAATTATATATATATATATATATATAATGTAAATATGGAACGACAAAATCAAATTGAGGGAGTAGGTGTTGGTACTGGCCTCACCGACCCCGTTTGTCTAACGGAGTCCACACTTCACTGGCAACCATTGACAGGTTGCCAACTAAGGCCAGTAGAGATTTTGGTTATTTCTTGGGGGCCCAGAGAATAGCTTATTTTATGCTACTTTATGCCCCTGAAGATGAGGCCAAATTTTGGGGGGGGAAAAAATCAGTTTTTTGAGGGTAGGTGTGAGTTCCCAACTTGAATGCCAGTAGCAACCAAAGGTTGGTGGACAAATTGCTTGGATTGGATGCATTTTTTTTTGGCATTTTCTGACTTAACTACTAATTAATCCAATTACTATACGTTATTAGGTACCAACTAGAAATTTGTGTTGGTTCAATTGTGCGTGCTTCCCTGATTCTGTTTTATGGAATTAAAAAAAAAATTCATAGAAAGATGTCAAATCGTAATGGAACGTTATTAATTATCTACTTCTTGACTCTGCTTGGACTTGTGGATTTAATTATACTTTGATAGAACAGTAATCAACACCAAACTAACGGGGGCAGCTGAAGAAAGAATATGCTGGAATCTGGATATATGTTGAATATGCTGAAGTACCTTCATGTCCAGATCAAACATGTTCCACAAGACTTGACTGTCAATTTAATGGCAATAAACTGAGATATGTGTTTTTTTTTTTTTAAAAGGGACTGAAAAATGGTTATACTAATAAGCTCTCCGAGTTTCATAACTTTTGATAGTAAAAGACAATGAGGATAGGCAGATAAAGGACACGATCTTCAACTACCACAAACTTATCAATAGTTCAATAGCTTCCCTTTTTCCTTGGTGGATCCCAGACAAATTTCACACCAATTCTTGGCTTCATTCAATTGGTTATTGGTCCCAGTACACCCATAAGAATTTAAATGGCTTGAAACCATTTCCCAATCCGATTCAGTTTCATGCACGCATGAACTTTCTCTGGCTGGAACCTAACCACAAATTTCTACCACCCATCTCTTCTGTCTTTCCTGGGCAGGATCGTCCTATTCGTCCTATTCTTGTTTACTTGATACATCCATTCAACAAGTCAAACTTATGGATAGAAATAAGCAATTGAGTGTGGATAATCGAATTGGTTATTTTGAAAAGCCAAATTATACAAACTCGTGTTACATTTAAGGCCAAGCAAATTTGATCAAAATAATGATTATGAGGTTCTTGACCAGTAACAAAAATTACAATAGTAGACAAATCCGTTTTAACATAAAAATAAAAGGGCAAGCTAATTTAAAGCAACAAGTATAGCAAAACTCTGGGAAAAGTCCAAGGAGTTACAAATTGGTAAACATACAGAAACTCTACCCTCCTTTTTGCTCTGTGTTGCTACTGATGAATCATAAGCAACTGGAGAAATTTTGATTCTGTTTCTTATTAAAAAGAAAGAGACCGTGTCACAATTGGAATGGCCTCTTCAGTGTAAGTTTCTCCGGAGACTTCTAACCAAGCCTAGCAAAGTTCTTTTGCTGCTGCAACAACAGCCTCTGGAGTCAAACCAAATTCCTTGTATATTCTCCCTGCTGGTGCACTTGCACCAAACCGGTCAATTCCAATTGCCTTCCCTTTAGGTCCAACAATCTTCTCCCACCCAAATGTTGATCCAGCCTCAATACTCACCCTAGCTGATACAGAAGATGGTAAAACACTTTCCTTATAGGCATCTGGTTGCTCATCAAAGAGCTCCCATGAAACAAGGGAGACAACCCTAACGGCCTTTCCTCCCTTCCTTAGTTCATCTGCGGCTCTAGCAGCAATCTCCAACTCAGAACCAGTTCCAATCAGAATTACATCGGGGTTGTTGCCTGAGGAATTGTCTGAAACAATGTAGCCACCTTTTTCAACCCCCTCAATGGAAGTTCCAGCTAGTTGAGGCAGCTTTTGTCGGGAGAGGGCAAGAATTGAGGGTGTCTTCCTGTTGAGGACAGCAACCTTGTATGCACCAGCAGTTTCATTTCCATCAGCTGGACGAAGCATCAAAATGTTAGGCATTGCACGGAAGCTTGCCAAGTGCTCAATTGGCTGGTGGGTTGGTCCATCTTCCCCAAGACCAATGGAATCATGGGTCATAACATAGATAACTCCAGCTTGACTCAAGGCAGAAATCCTAATGGCAGCTCTCATGTAGTCAGTGAAGACAAAGAAAGTAGCACAGTATGGGATCAGGCCAGGGCTGTGATGGGCAATGCCATTGCAGATGGCTCCCATTCCATGTTCCCTAACTCCAAACCTAACATTGTGTTCCTCAGGGGTGTCCTTCTGGAAATCACCGTACATTTTGAGCAAGGTCATATTGGAAGAAGCAAGGTCTGCACTTCCACCAAGAAGACCGGGGAGTACTTTTACAAGGGCATTGAGATTTTGTTGAGAGAGATTTCTGGTAGCATCAGCTGGGCTTTCTGGAGTGTATGTCTGGAAATTGCAAACAAAAAATGCGCAAATGGCAGTTTTACATTCCAATATAATCAGACTGTATTAATCATAAGGAACAAATTTAGGTGTTTGACTCTATTTAGTAAGGAAATCAAAGGTGTACTAACCGGAAGTGCCTTCTCCCAGCCAGCTGGTAGTTCACCAGTGATGATTGACTTGAGCTCTGCAGCTTCTTCTTTATACTTCTTCTCATATTCAGCAAACTTGGCATTCCATTCAGCTTCAAGAGCAGCACCCTGAGGGGTATGGCGACTCCAATGCCTGTAGAAATGACAAGAAAATTTTGAACACCAAACCAAAAAACATAGTCAGAAGCATATATACAAAACTTGACTAATCTCCTTACTCTTTAACATCTTCAAGTACATGGAAAGGCTCATATGGCCATCCAAGGTTTTTCCTAGTAGCATCCACTTCCTTGGCACCAAGTGCACTACCGTGTACACTGTACGAGTTTGCCTTGTTCGGAGATCCATAACCAATGGTAGTTGTCACCTGCAAAGAACAAGAAGCAACTTCAACAAAAATGACTTCTTGTACCATGCAGTTGTTATGAGCCTAATTTTGTCAATAAAATCAAATAACAAAATCAAGTGTAGATATGAAGAGTGATGCAAGATTTTTCAATTTTCAATTAATGCATTCTTTATGCATATGATGCAGCATCCTTAGAACAAAAGCTACAGCAGAGAAGTTAGTTTAACTAAGAATTATGAAACTTTAAATTTCAAATATATAAGATTCACATCAATGAAAAATACAAGTGTATTACTTCGAAACAAGATGTAGGAATGTAAGCATTTTGAAAATTGTCTGACCTTGATCAAGGTGGGTTTGTCTTTGACAGCCTTTGCTTCCTTAATAGCAGCACGAATATCATCATAGCCAGTGTTTCCATTCTTAACCCATATAACATGCCACCCAAGCCCCTCAAAACGCATACCAACATTCTCAGTAAAGGCAATTTCAGTGTCACCATCAATGGAAATATGGTTGTCATCATAAAAAGCTATAAGCTTTCCAAGTCCCCAGTGTCCAGCAAGTGAAGAAGCTTCGTTTGCAATACCCTCCATTTGACAACCATCTCCCAAAATAACATATCTACAAAAACAAAGACCAATATATTACTACAAGTTTGGGCATGCAAAACTAAAGATTGAGTATATGCAAGCAATATATCATACGTGTAGTGGTCAATGATCTCATTGTCTGGCTTGTTGAATCTAGCAGCCAAGTGTTTCTCTGCAAGAGCCAATCCCACAGCATTTGCAATACCTTGACCAAGAGGACCTGCACGTGAAGGAAAAAGCCACATATAAGTACCTACATTTGCTTTATTTCCAGTAAGGCATCTTTGTTGATAAAAACAAAAACAATCACTTCTGCAAAGGAGTCTAACTAACCAGTTGTGACTTCAACTCCAGGTGTTTCAAAGTTCTCGGGATGTCCTGGGGTTCTGCTTCCCCACTGACGAAAATTCTTCAAATCATCTTCCTAAAAGACAATCCAATAATCATAAATTTTAGACCTTTAGTACGAGAATCAACCTTTTTTTTTTGTCATGAATCATCCCAAAAAACTACAACCTAACAATTAAACCAAACATCAAGAAAACATTAAAAAAGAACAAAGAAATTTACAAAATAAATGGAAAGAAACTCAGATCCAATTTTCACCAATCAGAATAAAAAAAGACACATGGATCCAAAAGTCAAAAGCTCTCAAAATATAGATTAATTGAAATGAAAAAGAATCTTAAAGAAGCTTTACCTGGACACTGTCGTAACCAGCGAGGTGAAGCAGAGCATACTGCAACATACAACCGTGACCAGCGGACAACACGAAACGGTCACGGTTGAACCAATAAGGGTTCTTCGGGTTGTACCTCATGATTTCATCGTACAAAATGTGGCCCATCGGAGCACAACCCATGGGCAACCCAGGATGGCCTGAATTTGCCTTCTCGACAGCATCAATAGCCAAGAATCTGATCGTGTTGATCGATTTCTCCACCAAGGAAGTCTGGGCGGCGGTGCCAATTGTTTCGACGACTGCAGCCCGGACTTGGCGTTTCTGGTTGGAACGCGTGGGAAGGCGTCGACGGGAAGTGGAGGCGCGTGAGGTAGTCCATTTGAGACCGGAGAAAGAGGGGAGAGAGAGGGCGTAGAGAGAGACGCGGTGGTCAGAGGATTGGATGGAGCCATGGTAAGAGATGGCGCGAGCCAGGAGGGCTTGAGATAGGGTGAGAGACGAAGTAGAGGCCATTGTTTTTGGCTGGGTGAAGTGAGTGAGAGGGCGAGGTTGGTGAAACAACCCTCTTTGTTTGATAATGTGAAGAGAAGGAGAGAATGAGTTTACTTGATATAATCCAGCGTGGAGATTAGGTAGGAGTAAGGCAGTTAGTAGCCACCAACTCCCATTGATTTCTCGTCTGCACAAAGGGACAGATAGAGTGAGCTGACCGTTAGATTCGAAGATGGGCATGTCTCCACCGTTGACTCTGGGTATTCCTCTCTCTACCTTTCATTTTTTAGAAAAAATTTTAATTTATCTCTGCTCAATCGTTATTTATTTAACTCAGTTAAAAAAATTCAAGCTTTTAAATTCTCTCAATTTTTTTAAAATTTAATTTATATTTAACAATTAAAATTTTAATTTATCTTTAATTTTTAATTAGCTCAGCATATGGCTGAAAGAGGAAACTGATTTCAGGTTTTTCCGCCGTGCCTCGATAGTAGCCGGAAAGTAAGAAATTGTGATTTTTCCCCTTAACTTTCCATTTTTACATAGGAGTCCTAGAAATCGTTTTCATTTTTTCGATTTTTGAAGTTCGTTATCCAAAATTATATTTTAAGATTACCCTTAATTGTAATAAAAAATCACTTGACTAACAATCTGTGTTTCTCTTTAATAAAATTTTGAACTATAATTTGGGTAGATTAATAATGTACGAAAACAAGTAAATATATATATATATAAAAAAAAACTCCGTTATAAAAATCGTATTTCAATCCGATTATAATTTTAATTGTTCGTTGATATACATTATGAATAATAGTTTATGATGAGATCAGCAAACGCAGACCAAAATTGGAAGTAAAATCCGTAAGTTTAGACGTCATATCCAAACAGAAGCCCTTTATATTTGGAATTCTAAACTCAAAATAATAAAAGAAAATTAAATTTTCTAAAAAAAAAAACTTTTTTAATTAATTAATTAATTTAATAGCTTTAGGATTTAGCCTCCTCTGGAAAATTACATTGATGCAAAAATCTTTTAATTGGACCAATATTACAATGCTTAATAAAAGATGGCATCATCAAAATCAAAGGTGTAATTACAGCCTGGGGAATTCCTAATCCCCCTAGCTGTAACAGAATATGCTGAAGAAGCTGATCCAAGAGAAGGTGACTTGTCCATATATGCATACCGTTCATTACATTCCAGCATAAAACAATCCGATTTGTGGAAGTATAAGACCAGCTATCGCCTACTTAGCATGGTTATACTACATCAGTTCAGCACTGTAAATATGGCAATGGACAAGCATTCAACAAATGCGTGTGACTACGCATTTATAACAGTAATAGATGACTGGAGTTGATATTACCTAGTGCAAGAGCTAACTGAAAGGAACCTTCTGTATGCTTAGTGGTCACCTGATTCAATAATACAACCTGCCAAAAGGAGGTAAGTTAGAAACCAGAAAGGACACAGCCGAAGGTGAGATCATTATTATGTACCACTCCATACATTCCAAAGACTGAGACAGCTTGTAGGGTAATAAGCATGATAAAAATAGAAATAAAACAGAAAAGATGCATCATGATTTACAACATTTTATGGAAAAATATTAACAATTTGAATTTTACAAATACAACAAACTGTTCTCACCGCCCAACTGAACTTTTTGGCCAGCTTCATCAACTTTAAAGCCATTCCACTAAGAACTCGAGTTCTAAGGGCCATGTCATCAAAATCTTGGCAGAAATGGAAGGTAACACTATCCACAACAACCACCTTCACCTGTGTCAATAATGATATATTTATTTACAGATCAAAGCAGGTAATTAGCAGCCGTGTTAGCCAAACAAGCCCAAGACAGAAATTGCCTTAACAAAAAAGGAAAGGACCCAGCATATTAATACTATACGTAAAGCTTTATGTTCGGAAATAAACTTGTCCAAGTAATTTATCAGGGCAAATTGCTGTGTAACTGCAGATGTGGAAATAAAATATGTTTTCCAGGATGTCCTTGGGTTGCATTCTGATTTCGCATGCTTGGAAATCCTTCATTAAGAAGCTGTTATATTCTGACATGTCCTCTACGCATGCTTCAGCATTTTGAAAAGCACACTCCACCATAAAACTGCCTTCCGTGTCTAAGCATCGTGTAATCACAATGTCAGCAACATAAATCTAATGGCAAACCAGTACAAAAACTCGCAGTGGTTTTATGAAAGTTACTGATATATATTGCCTTCCCACTCAGGCCATCAAAATCATGTCGAATTTGAACATTAACAGGTATTTGAATCCAGTCAATAGGGACGGATTTACTGCAAAATAAATCTAATGTAAAATGCAAGAAAACCTTGATAACAAGCAACAACCCCCATCCCAGTTGTGTTTTACCAATGTCTGGGACTCCACCTATCAAAATCAGATAAAGATAATATTTTCACCAACAAAGCATTTGCCAATTTATACTTTAAAACGAAATTAACAATTAGCGCACAGTGATGATTAAAGAATGAATCAGTTACTCCAAAGAAGAAGAGAGAGTGAGACCAACCAATTTCAGTAACTTCTTTGCAATGTATTCCACCCCCCAAGATGTTATTCAGATCAGCAGAGGATGTCGTTAAGTGTATCAATGACTTCTCATCATTGAGCATATCCCAGGCATTCTGTTCACCTGCCAACCAATGGAATGTGTCCAAAACCATAAGGAGTTCAACAGGTCATATGGGCATAAACTAATGATTTTTTTTCCCTTTAAAAACATTACTAGTAAGGTAAAGTTTTAAATTTCAATAAACATCATCGTGAAAGGAATGTATTAAGTTCAACTTCACCAAAGAAAGTGAAGCTTGCCTTCACGAAAGCTCTATATAGCAGAGAAACGATAAACACCCTCAACAATTGAACAATTACTTGGATTAGGCATGAATCATGATGATTGTTATATATTTGATAAATTTCTGAAAAAAGTGCAAATAACAAAACTCATCTTTTCCACCTTTCTTGGCTGCATCTTATATTCCCTTTTTCATTTAAAGATTAAAAGGTTAATTGATAAAAAAAAGTTTTGTATTAAATGGCCCATAACTCATTATCTGCATGTGAATCGTAAGAAAACAACAAAGATACCGTACAAAACTCAGAAGATTTTACAGAAAGTATTAAAGCATCAAGCAGTTCGTTTCATGAATATGTTTGATGCCCATCTTAGTATTCTGAAGTGGTGCATCTTAAGAAGCAACCTCAATTACCCATCAGATAGTTAAGCTGAGGAATCATTGTGACATTTAATTTAAGACCATTCGAGGATCTCTATGAAGATTAACAGAATAGAGATGTAAGCTGTGGATGCTTTTGCGTATGTACACACTCTTATCGTTGTTGTTGCAACGAGGCTTGTACAAGGGATGTAAGTGATGGATGAACCCGAGCCCTTCTCAACGAGCGAGCCTCACTCCTGCCTTCAGCATATTCCTCCCCTAATGGCCACCTTGGTCGCAAATCATACTGGTGCAACACAAACATGTGAAAAATTTATACCCTGAAAATTCGAGTGAATTCAACTTATTTCTGCCTATAACCATGCACAACTTTTAAAGCAAACACAGTTGCATGTAATAAGATATTTCCCACATACCATGAAATCTTCTGGATCATTGGCAGGTGGTGGAGGATCATATCTTCCAACATGAAAGTTCTCAATGCCGGTCCAAGCAACCATCACACCTATTTCATATGAAAATAAAAGCATTGGTTGTCTACTTTTATCTAGCACATCTTGTTAATTTCCCTGGGTTTTAGCATTGGGTTTAGGCTTTTATCTTTAAAACTCTAGTGCATTTGAACATGTCTATCTACATATATATCTATCTTTCTACACATACATATGAGAATATAGACACGTGCATAAACTATCATATTCCTATTTTTTAAAAATTTTATAAGGTTGACCAAAAATTACAGAAATGTGACTTACCATTGTCAGTGCAAAGGTTGGGAGGGGGACAGACTAGCTGCAGACTATACTTCTTGACAACCTGATCCAATCGAGCCCTAACATATTGATTTGATGCTACACCTCCAGATACTACCTGCAAGAAGCAAAATATAAACAAGGTCATCATACACCACTACATGGCAGACAAATTATAAGAAGCACTCAGTACTATCAGGAGTAAAGAAAATTTTTTAAAAAATTTAATTAACATCACCAGATGCTTTATGGAAGGCTCAATCTTCAATGCCCATTCAACTGCTCGTTCACACCTTTCTTCTAGATGTAATACTGCAACTCGCTGGATTATAGATTTTAAGGCGCTCAGAGAAAATCAATAAATATATTTTAAAATTATGGAATTAATGAATAGATCTAGAATTAAGACTGCAATACAAAGAAGAAAGGGAAAGGAAAAAAATGTAACCTGAAAAGAGGCGGCAATATCAGCTCGAGAACTTCTGTCTTGGCTACTTGCACATGAAAGGGGAACCTTTGCAGCACTACAACAAATGGGAATCAAGTAGAACTCACCATGAGATAAAAAGTGGAAAAGTAAATCATCAATTATCATAGTTATTGGTATGGTCTACACACATATTTCTGGATGCAATTGCTAGCTTCACTTGGGTCTTTAGACCAGCATATGAGAAATTGCAATCTTTATGATGTTTCATTGGAATCTGAAAAAGAAAAAAATGCAAAGTAGTTGAAACTCAGAACGACTACTCAAAGAAAAGATCAAACCCATATATAAAAAACTTGTTAAACTGAACCATCAAATATACATTCTAGCAAAGGTAAATAAAGTTCTGAAAGAAAAGACCTACTGAGAATCTGACTGATTCTGCATCACCCTCCTGAGCAAGTTTCTCAACAGCTGGCCCACCACTCTTCCTCATATCAAGGCCAAGCCATTTTGCAGTCTTGTCAAAAGCCTCACCAATTGCATCATCTATTGTGGTCCCAAGTTGAGTGTAATGGCCAAGATCATGAGCAAGAACTAACAGATTGTGTCCTCCTGCAGGAAAACCAAGTAAGCAATGATCATAACCCACAAAGCCACCGGGATATAGTAGGTAGCATAACTAAATTTATGATTTTTCCATGTCACAGTATAATCATCGAATTTCTTAATCAGATTCAGAGGCACTTACATTTGAGTTATTAGCCAAGCAATTTCAGCATTCCTTAACTTATGTGAAGCAGAAAATTGTAGATGACAAAACTTTAATTACCCTGAGTTACAAACTGTTGCAGAATAATACTTTGTAGCCCATGATGTCGTTATATCCATAATCTGTATCACATTATATGTAAAGACTAGGCCACATACATCTCTCCATCTTCCTCTCTTGTCTCATTAACCAGCTAACAAGCAAGCAAACATATGAATGCAATGAGTTTAAGAGACATAAGTACCACAACACCAGAAACTTGTACCTGATATAAGCAGGGCCAGGAAAGGAAATCGCAACTCCTTTTCTATCAGCCTAGATAAAGAAGTAACAGTGTCAGGTACCGATAAATAAATGGAACTAAAAAAAAACAACATTTTCTTCAATTGAAACAACATATGCCTTATCTGGATGCTACTCAGCAGTGCTGGTGCATGCCTCATTCTATTCTATAGATAGTCATTGATTCAATACCTGGCTACTAGAGCATGAGCCTCCATATGATGCACACCAATGATTGGTAGATTGAAGCTGCCAGCAACTCTCCTAGCTTTCTGCACACCAACTGTCCAGAAATTGCTTAAAAAATATGTAAAAAGGGGAAAGTAACTTTAACCACAGTTTGAAGCACTGATGAGCAATAGAGTTCAGTTAAAAGAAGAAAACATCATAGACAATTACCACGAAGGCAAAGACTTAAACCAGGTCCAATAGTAACAGCAACGGCAGATAGGTCCCTTTCAGTCAAACCAGCTTTATCAACTGCTTCCTGCACAACCTGCATTTGATAATCAAAATGTGATTTATTTGTGCATTAATATTTACACAATAAAAAACACTTGAATAGCAAATATATAACGTAAGTGCTATACAATAGTTACAGATAAGTAGTATATTTTTATTGATTGATAGAAATCTTTTTTAATTAAAAAAAATTATATGATACCTGATCAATTACTTGTGAGTGTGCTTCTTCAGCCATTTTAGGAGCAACGCCTCCATATCGAGCAAGCAAATCTGCCTTGATATGGTCAATAGTTAAAGTGAGAAGAAAAAGCATTTACTGCCATGACAAACTTCCAGCTAACAGGATAAATGCTTACCTGAGAAGACACGACTTGGCTGAGAATTTCGCCATTGCTTCTCACCTAAAATTCACCCAATTTGTTTTTTTTTTTTACACAAAGATAGTCTCCATTAAAACTTGAAAATATCCATAAAGGAAAACGAAACAGGAAAGGAAAAAAAAGGGCACTTACGATAGCTGCTGCTGTGTCATCGCAACTCGTTTCGATGCCAAGAACAACCAAATCATCATTAAAGGATTTGGGCGAAACAGAACTACTTGAAGTGGAAAATTGAGTTGCTGAAGAATTGGGTGAATAAGGAAAACAAAGGAGAGGATAATTTAAGGGTCTTAGTCGCTGTTGCTTGTGGGATTTTACAAAATTGAGCAATTTAAATGTGTAGGGAATTACTACTAAGGAGTTTGGGACTAAATTTAGGCGGGAAAATGTTGAAGGTAGGGTTAACAATGAAGACATCATTTTCCAGCGAGAGGAGATGAAGGGGAGAAGAGATTATGAACGAACGTCGAACGATGATAAGAGGAACAGGTAGTTACCGTCGTTATGTATTAAACGACACCGTTTAACTAGGTTTTTCTTTTGCTTAAACCGCTGTTGCACTTTGTTTATTATTTTGATAAAAAATATTTTTAAAATATTTTTATTATATTTGAAATTATAACATTAAATTTTTTTTTTGAATAAACTAGTATATATACTTTTAAAAACTAAAACAAAAAGAAAAACAATAATTAAGGGATAAAAAAACGTAATTTTTGCCCTTTAGAAAAAGAGGGGACTGAGAATAAAAATTGTAAAACACATCAAAGCCTTTCTATTAATGGAGACAAATGCTTATGAGTTGTAAAATACTTTTTTTTTTTCAAGCAATAGTATTGAATCATATGTAAGCGGTCACATTAACTTTGTAATAAACTCACATTAAATGAGAAATATTTTTACATTAATTTAATATTAACATTAATAAACCAACTTCTTAACATTTTAATTTTTAATTTCTTAGAGTTGTATTTTTTTTAATGTAGAGGTGTTCAAATTACACTCTTTAGCATGAGGGTATCAATTAAATAAAAATCTATTTTAAATTTGTTTGTGAAAAGTGAAATGTTTTTTTTTCTACTTTTAATATAAAGTTTTTAACAACAATATAAGAAAAAAAAGTATGACCGATAAAATTGATTTTCTTAAAATATATTTGTATTATATATTTTGTGAATAAAATTATAAATATAAAAAAATTACAATCATAATTAATTATTATATTTATATATTATTAAATAATTAATTAATAAATTAAATTTAAATTAAATAATTAAATTAACGTACAATAAAATTTAAATATAAAATTTTAAAACTTTATACTAACATTAAATTAAAATTTCATTGGCTCATATTATATATTGAATACTCATTCATTTCAATTTAATTCAGGACAGAGATTGAAGTGAAAGTTTTTTTCTCATGGGAAGTACATCTTCAAAAAGATTATTATTTCTATTAATGGTAAAAAAGTAGTTAAACAGTTAAAGTACTGAAAAACAATGAAATAAAGGAAAGAGTTAGTCCATCACGGGGTAAGTTATGTCTTGTCCAAAAAAAAACGTTATTAAAGTTCCCTAATCGATGCTTTGCTTCTCTTTCGCCGTCTTCTTTGTTTTTATCTGAAAATATTCCCCATTTTCTCTGGCTAAATCTCTGGTCAGGTGAATTTCCTCATCCACGCCGGTTTATTTCCCGACAAAGCTAAACAAAAACATTGGCAAACCAAAATTTTTACCTGGTTAACTGCGGTCACTTTAGGTTTTACAGTAGTGTACCATAGTTGATTTGGAGTTCCAATTTCTTGCATTTTCTCTTTAAAGTAAGAGCATTTAACATTAAAGATTTATGTTGTTGCTGGGATCTTGTTTAGATTGATGGGTTTGCTGATAAAAAACGTGTTAATTGCCTCTTGTTTTCTTTGCCCAAATGATGCGTTGTTGATTGATTTATGTGATCGTGCATTGGAATCGTATTAGCTATTGAAAAATTCAGAGTGGGTCTCTGATTGTTTATGATTAATTGTTCAAAGTTTTATCATTTGCTTCTTAAAACATTGCTTTGTCTAGCTGAGGTTTGTGCCTATAGGATGGACTTGAAATGATGAATGAAGGAATAATCTTTGCTGGAAAATGATTTTAATTGTTTATTGCTATTGTTTTAATCTATCATTTTCCTGAAAATGTTTTAATTTATTTATTACTATTTCTTCCAGGGTTTGAAGGTTATTTATTATTATGTTTGCTGGATATATCCTGAAGAGGGCTTGTGATCTTTTCAGGTGCAATCAGGGCCTATCTCTTCTGTTATACATAACATACAAGTCTGTGTTCTCGTGAGGCGTTTGATAGAACCAGAATGCATGCCTGATGGCCCAGGGCACCGTGCAATTTCAACAGTATTTTGAGCGTCTATTGTGTCTTAGATATATGTTAGATGTAGGAAACTCCTTTTGTTGTTTATAATTTCCAAGTTACCATGTACCGGAGCAAGATCAATCAAGTGATACTATGGGTAAACCAGGTCCAGAAGTTAGAATTAAAACTGAGAACTTGGTGAGTCTATAAAAGTATAGAGATTGTTGTAGATTCGTATATTACGTCCAGTTTGCATACTACTCATGGCTAGAATAACAGAGCATGAAGAAAGCCAGGTGCTTTTTATGTACTTAATTTCATTCTGATGTTTTCTTTCATATATGATATACATGAGAAATTGCATAAGGTTTACTTACCTCCCTTCTAGTACCTGCTAGATTCTGTTAATAACATTGTCAAAACTTTCATGTATTCTGATAACAGCTCTGAAAGATTCCATTTTAAGTCTCCCCTTGGTTGGTAACAGCTAATGCTAACGACGAGGCCAAAAGATACTCAACTCCGTGACAGCAACAGCCAAAAAGTTCACCCTCAACCATGGAAGAGACCATGAACCAGAATCCAGAAGCTGTGGAAGCTCTGATATCCAAAATATTAACAAACATTTCCTCCCTCAAGTCAGCTTATATTCAGCTCCAAACTGCTCATACTCCCTTCGACCCTGAAAAAATCCAAGCTGCTGATAAACTTGTAATTTCTGAGCTGAAGAATCTGTCTGAACTAAAGCACTTCTACAGAGAAAACAACCCCAAGCCAGCGTATGTTTCTCCTCAGGATTCTTGCTTAGCTGTCGAGATCCAAGAACCACTGAGCCTGCTGAAAACCTATGACGTTATGGTAAAGAATTTCCAGTCTGAAATTCAGAATAAGGACTCTGTGATTCGTCAGTTGCAGCAGCAAATTGAAGGGGCAAACCAGAAGAAATTGAAACTCGAAAAGACTATAAAGCTTAGGGGTGTGTCTATGAAGGAATCTGAAGGCTCTGGAGAAGAAAATGGATTCTTTCCTGTAGATTTGACCACTGAGCTCTTCACATCAGCTGTTGAATCTGCTTTCAAAGCTATTCATGATTTTTCTAAACCACTGATCAACATGATGAAAGCTGCTGGCTGGGACCTTGATGCTGCCACTGACTCAATTGAGTCCAATGTTGTTTATGCCAAGAGAGCTCATAAAAAATATGCATTTGAGTCCCACATTTGCCGGAGGATGTTCAGCGGGTTTCAACGGGAGAATTTCTCCATTAAATTAGATAATCCTACTCTCACTGAATAGAGCTTCTTCCACCAATATCTGGCTCTGAGGGAGATGGATCCGTTGGACATGTTGGGTCAGAATCCCGATTCCATATTTGGGAAATTTTGCCTTATGGTTGTTCATCCAAAGATGGAAGCTTCATTCTTTGGAAATTTAGACCAGCGAAATTATGTAATGGGGGGTGGGCATCGTAGGACACCATTTTACCAAGCCTTTCTTAAATTGGCTAAATCTATTTGGCTTTTGCATAGACTAGCTTTTTCACTCAACCCTAATGTGAAGGTCTTTCAAGTCAAAGGGGGAAGTGAATTCTCAGAGGTTTATATGGAAAGTGTAGTTAAGAATTTGGTAACGGATGAAACTGATCAGAAACCTGAGGTTGGGCTAATGGTCATGCCTGGCTTTTGGATTGGTGGCAGTATCATACGAAGGTTAATGAGTGATTACAAGCACCATGCAAATCTTTGTTCCAAAACCACGAATGTATTACTTCTTTGTGATATGTTTTTGTTGATGTACATTTGCAGTTGTGGTAATTGTATCACAACATAAGGAGCTCCTTTTTTCTTGACCAAGTTCCTCTGTCTTTGCTTGCTTTCCGTGCTTAACTGTAATTGTGGGTTTGATTTCAGTCTCAACGATTTCCGTGCTTTTGCACGATTACCTTCCATTACTGAAGAGCAAATGTCGGGAAGAAGAGGTTATGGATGTTAAACGTAATTATTCATCACAAAAATGCTGTGTGATCATAACTTTTCCTGTTTCAGGCTTAATATTAGTCCGAGATGAGAAAAAATCGAAAATTTTAAAAATTGATTCAAAATTGTGATGTTTGGTTTGATTTTTTTTATTCCGCTAGAATTAAGTTTATATAATAAATAAATATATTATATTTAGATCGAACTTTGAATTAAAAGATAAAAAAAAAATTGAATCGAATTAAATTATTTATATATTTTTAGTTTTTATATTTTTTTAAAATTGTTTAAAATAAAAATAATAATTTATATTAAATTTTATTTAAATATAATAAAATTTTATATTAAAATAATATTAAAAATTAAAAACTACTAAATCAAATTAATAAAATTTAATTCGATTTAAATCAAATAAAAATTTAATTTAAATTTAATCAAATTTTAAAATTTGATAATATTATATAATATTTAAAAAATCAAATCATATACAATTCGAACCAAATCGTTATTGTCTTTAATATTAATAATTGATAGTTGATTGTTATAAGTGATTATGTGCCTGGATAGATATGCACAAGCAGCCATTCTAGACGATAGTTGTCGATTTTTTTTTTTGGCAGATAATTACTCGGAAATGACCTTGTTGCCCAAGTGCTGCCTTATAAACCCCATTCTACGCATCTCTCTTTTCTTCCTACGGTCCTGCCAAACGAAATAAAGAACCATCACAAAATAAAAGAAGACATTCTCGGTCCTAATCAGGTTAAACTAATAGCACATGTAATCAAACGCCATGTTGACTGCGGGAAATAATCTTAATCTGATAAACATCATAGCTATACATTGGAGAACATGATTCAGGATGTAGATGAAAGATATTCCAATATTCAGTCGGTAGAAAAGCTAAACTTTTGATTGGTTTTGTGGGTTTGATTTTGCAGAGGAACCACTCAATCACATGATTTTTAGGTGTCCCACTTGCCATGAAATCAAATAATTTACCATCATTTTAAACATCTTATATCTAGTTGTGGCCCGCCGTGGGCATCGCCGGTTCTCCTCACCCCATGGCCCTCGTAAAAGTTGTCATTCTTGGTCAAAAGTCTATCGCAATCCGTTCTTTTTGCTCAATCAAATCATCTAATGAAACCAAATGGACTTCCTTCCTCTTATTGCCAGATTTATATATCTGAACCAAAAAGTCAGAACAACATTTTGCACGTGCTCTTGTTCCATAATATGCTGCAAACGTTGTAAGATCTAATTCACTATTATATATCTTTGTACTAAAATTTGTTTATGTTTCATTTTTGTAGTTCTACGAAGCTCCAAATAATGCGCGGTCAGCGGCAGTTTAACATAATCTGACAAAAATTATTCATATACTATTTTTATTTTATTCTACTTCCCTTTACCATATCGTTACACAATTATTTGCTCTTAATTCAAGTAAATTGCAAGCAAGCAATGGCTTCGCACGTTACAAGCTCTCTAGTCTTCTATATATACTAATCCAACTGTTTTCTTTTTCTCGAGTCTTAATTCAACCCTTCAACTATAGTCTGTTTATCATCTTTACTTCTTGACCAATGGCCAAACTCAGTTTCTCCCTGATGCTCTTCTTTCTCTTTTTCTTTTGCATTAATATTGGCACGGTTAAGCCATCCATGGCGAGAGCGACACAGTTTAAACATTCCAGAGCCGGGAGCTTCATTGAGGCCTCGTGTCAGACCACCCGCTATCCGGCCCTATGTATTACATGTCTCTCCCGCTACGCCAACTCCAGTATTCAAAATGTGCAGCAACTGGCCCAAGTGGCATTGACAGTGAGCCTGTACAAGGCTCGTTACACAAGGTCATACATGTTGAAGGTGGCTAAAGAGCTCGAGGCAATAAAAGCCAAGGAATATCCAGCCGTGAGAGATTGCTTGCTACAAATAGATGATGGCGTAAACCAGCTTAGCCAATCAATCAGGGAACTGCGCCGACTGGATCCAAAAGCTGGGATGACTGATGACATATTTTGGCACATAGATAATGTTGAGACATGGGTTAGTGCTGCCCTAACTGATGCTAGCAGTTGCATCGATGAGTTCCCGGGGCGAAGGATGAGTAAAATGAAGGCCACCATTAAGGGCAAGGTCTTGAATGTTGCACAGCTAACTAGCAATGCACTGGCCTTATTTCACCAGTATGCTGCAAGGTATCGAGCTGCTGCTGCCACCAAGAAGCCGTAAGGCTGGTCATCCTTTTAGGATTATTGCCTGCCTTTTTCTTTTACCAGTCTTGTTCTTTGGTTTTCTCGTCCTAATGTAATGTTGATACATGATAATTCTATTAAGTTACAAATGTGCATATGAAGTTTTGTGTAATGAGACTGATCATGAAAATTGAAAAGCCACTAATTTCTCTAACTTAATTGGGTAAGTTCGGAATAATCTAAAATGGGCAACCCAACAACTTAGACTTAAATAATAAATGGCTAGATACGAGGCAATAAGTCCCAACATATCCGTACTAAATGGTCTTGAACAGCCCAAGTAAGCCCGGTTAAAGAAATTTTGGCCCAAGCTTAAACGGGCATGAACATCATTTAGGCCCAAATGAAAATGAGCATTGAACAGCCCCTCCACATTCCTTCAAAACCAGGATGGCTTAATTGCATGTTAAAAAAATGAACGATTTATTATGGTCTACAAACAGTAATAATTTGACACTTTCTTGGTCAAGGTACAAACCAGATTATGATTATTCTTGTACAAAAGAAACATAGGGGAAGAAAATTATTTTTACATCATCACACGCTACTAGATAAATGAAAAAGTGTATCATTCCCCCTCCCCCAAATAACGTGCACATGAGACTCTCATCCGGCAAAAAGTGTCAATGGTACTTTATAATCTATTGCCATCAGTACACTAATGTATGGATAACTTATCTTTGGGTCCGTTATTTATGTGATCATGTGACTGATTACTTGTTAAGCCAAGGAAACACATTAGGGGATGAAGGAAGCCGGGCCGTAAGAACCTCGACCCCAGTTTCTGTTACCTGCATGATAATATTCATTAGTGAAGATGATTGCGCCATAGAGATCACAAGTACAACTGTGAGAAGCAATAAGCAATCATGCGCAGGGGTCACGATTCTCTATCATAAAATGCAATTATAATCACAAGCAAACGCCATATAATTGCAGATCCTTTGAGTTATTAATGAAACTTATGATTAATTCAGAGATAAAAAGCAAGATCAACACAAATATAATTGCAAGACAATCAAGAAGGTTGCACTGTTAAGTAGCTAAATCAGGAGCAAAAAGGTCATATTCCAAACATTTCTCATAATAGAGATATCATGAAAACAAAAGGGGGAAAATGGAAATGCAGTGTTACCAAAAGAGTGTGCTCAAACTGAGCACTGCGTTTCCCATCTGCAGTAACAGCAGTCCATCCATCAGGCCACATTTGATCATGCCAAACCCCTATAGAGAAAAATCCATCAGGACATAGTGAGTAAAGCAAAACGATTTTAAGCCACTATGCCCAACAAGTGCCTAACTTCAAGAGTTACCTGCATTAATCATTGGTTCAATAGTGAAAGTCTGTCCAGCCTTCATCACCCCAACTGCCTTATTTCCTGCTTAGGTTAAGGAAGGTCGATCCACCAGAAAAAAAGAAACAGAAATTACTTGCAATTAAGAGTGGTTGAATCAATTCCGAGGAATTCCAGTTTTGAATCATTATACTTCATTGATGTCTTTCCATGAAGCATTAGGTCATAGTCAAACATAAAACGTAATTGGTTTGAGAAGCCTGATCTAACAAGGATACTTCCATAATGGGAAATTACTTGCAATTAAGAGTGGTTGAATCAATTCTGAGGAATTCCAGTTTTGAATCATTATACTTCATTGATGTCTTTCCATGAAGCATTAGGTCATAGTCAAACATAAAACGTAATTGGTTTGAGAAGCCTGATCTAACAAGGATACTTCCATAATGGGGAATATTTGGGGCACAGTGGAAGAGCTCTCCAATACCATGGCCGCAATATGATTTCACCTATAGTAACAAAGGATAACAGGGCAGGCAAGAAATAAATGAAAACTGTAATTAGGGTGATATGAACCAGGATGTATAATGCATAGTCCAAATTACACATTACCACAGATAACCCCGACATTGAAGCATGGCGGTTAATCACTTCTCCAATGTCACGAAATCTCACTCCAGGTTTAACTGAATTTGAGCACAAAAAATAAAAGAAAAAAAGATTAATCAGAAATCAAGTCTAAAATCAAGTTTTGAATTACCACTATCATGCTTAAGTATATATAAACCACGCGGCTGTCTCTGTGTACCGCGAATGTTGATATGTCCATGGGGCACAGGGTTCAAAAGAATGCAATCCACTTAAAAGCAAGAGACCACTTTCAAAATTTTTCTAATTAATTAATTACACAGTTAGCACCTGCCTTCCACATAGAATGAACAAGAATATTAAAGACCTTCAACATTGAGCACATCATGCACATTTGTTTGAATAATCGTATCCAAGAATATGAAATACCAAGCTCTTTATTTCTTGATTATTTTATCTTAAAAAAATCTAAACGAAGTAACAAATTATGAACACAGTTTTAAGAAATCATGTTCAAAAAGCAATGACATCATAGACATGCCATGAAATGCTTAGTGATTGAAGAAAGTGGTAATTGAACTAATTATAGCAGCCATCAGAAGTCATACTTTCTTTAATATCATCTCTAGCCCATTGTACTGAATACAATGTGTAAAAATCATCAAGGAAAAGACTTATGACACCTTGGAAGAACAAGAAAAAATAGGAGAAAATGTGATGCTGAAGAATTTCAATATTGCAAATAGAATATGAATAACATACCACTAGATATTGCTTTATCTAAGCACTCATATGTACACTGTACCAGCTTACGAGATGCTTCATCTACATTTCCCACAAAATATGTTTCATTTAAATCACCTGCATGATGATTCTATCCTTTGTCAAGTATGGAGCTTCATTAGTTTCAGCAACATTTGAATCAATATATAAATGGGAAGATCCTTACCATGAACACCTTTATAGTAAACAGTCACATCAACATTTACAATATCACCATCCTCCAATTTCCTGGGGCAATTAGAACATAGTTGGTCATGAAATTTCAGTTCAGAAACATCTTCGTGATTAAAAGATACCATAATAAATGTTAAAAACTTTAAAGCTAAGGTGGCATTATAGATTAATAAGTGAGATCCTGAAGAATTAGAAGAAGACTAATACCTTGCATCAGGAATTCCATGGCATATTACTTCATTAACTGACCTGAAAAAGAAAATGAAATAAGTTTGCATAATCAACAAAAAAATTCCCAGTAAATTCAAAGAATTTGTAATGTACTTACGTGCAGCAAGACTTTGGGTAGAAATGATAATTGAGAGGGGATGGATATCCTCCTGCAGGAGAGTTACACATATAAAGGGAAACCAGAGAAAAGATAAGCGATCATTCATAAATTGTTTAAAATAAAAGCTCATTCAAAACATGCACCTGCAGCAATAGTTGCTTCATGAACCACTCGATCAATTTCATCTGTCGTTACACCAGGACAGATCATCCGAGCTGCTGCATCCAAAACCTCCCTCGCAATCTTAACAGTAGAATTTTAAACACTAAGAGAATTTGAAATTACTCAAGAAATATTAAAAACGAAGTCCAAAGAAAATTGGATGTATTTACAATTGGAATCCAAAGAGCATTGCATCTGTTTGCAATTGGAAAGGATTTCTCACTGATTCCTCCCTTCCTTTCTAGCTACTATATTCTTAAGGTTTGGTCACACAAAAAACCTTTGGATCTGCCTTTCCCTATATAGCAATTATGGCGCCAATGTCATAATCTAGGAGGACAAATTCTGGCAAATAATGGGAATTGGCTAAAAAAAACAACTCTAATATTGAAAGGAAGCAGAATTCCAGAATCATTCTGCATAAATTTGTTATTCATTGAGTTTAAACTTCACATTTTGACCAATGCATTCTAGTATGCATTCAAAAGAGTTTAATATATGGGCGGCAGAGGTATGCATATTATCAAGCCAAGGTGAGTCCTTCCAGTTAAAAGGTTCTGTAAACCAAACTATGTTGAAGCTCATTATAGGATAACGTTTTTGCTGAGGAGAAAAAACCTTTACTTTCACATGAAGCAGAGTAATGCTACCTTTGCAGGAAAAAGAGAAGACATGTAAACAACATTATAGCAAGATAAACTCTCCCATGAAAGCATAGTTGGATAATAGCACAAAAGAGAAAAGAGGATTAGGGGAACTTACTCGACAAGTTTCTCGCATTCTCTCAACTTGATCTGGAGTCTTGATCTTCAAACAGATGCACCAATGTTAAAAAGAAAAGTAACACTAAAAAAGAAAAAACTATATGAAGCACATAAAAGTGTACATTAATTCAGTAAGACTTAAGAAGAGATTTCACCAGTATAAACTTACCTCAACATGATGCTGCAAATCACTATTTGGCTCAGCCCTTGGAATTCCCTGCTTGGGAAAGGAGAACACTAATATTTTAGGGATGCAAATACCCATACCCAAAACGAAACAAGAGAGAAATAAAGGGTGATTGTTTATTAATCTCTCTCTCTCTCTTCAACCAATTTTCCACTCAAATTGCTAATGAATATTCCATATGCAAAAAAATGATTCAGAAATACTCACATCATCAGCCCAGTCAGGTTTATCAATGTGAGCAGGTACAATACGCTTGACAGATATGGGATATGGTCTAAGTGTCCTACACAAGGAAGATAATAATAAGAATCAGAAATAACAGGGGAAGTAACTATTCAGAAAAAGACACATAGCAAAAACTTGAAAATAGGACGGAAGGTAAGAAATTGATCCAAAAGCGGTAGCATAAAAGAGGAACTAAAATCCTAGAGAAGTACCCTGTCCAAACAAAATGAGGACGTTTTGGTGTTCGACTCTGTCCGTTCCTCAAGCAATATAGCCAACCCTCATTAGCTACATCTGAATTTTGTTCGCCAGCAGTATCTGTCCCAAGTAAGGAAAACGTTGCCTTCAAATGAACTGATTTGTGTGAGCTCCAAGAAGCCTTGAAACAATCCTGAGTGCTGTCAAGAAAAATATTATTAATACAAAATAATAGCTTAATCAGTCATTTTCGAAATTTTGGTAAGAAAGTAACCAAAAAAAAAAAAAAACTCAATTTCCATAAATGAATTAAGCCAAAAATATAAAAATCATCAACTGAGTTTTAGTCAAGGATAGAAATAAGTAGATACTTGGCGTTTTATAAAGCCTAGTCATTCAAGATCTGGAAGAGTAACATGGAGATGAAATCAGGCAATCAATACAGCATATTATTCATAATCATTCCCATAATACTCACAATGAGAAACAGAATTTCGAAGTCATAGAAGAAAATGATTACATACCAGAAAGCACCAGCTTCACGAGGAAACTTTAACTCCATGCACTTGGGACACCTGCAGATAGGAAGTTATATCAGAAACAAAGGATGCGACTCAGCTCTCAAGTTATTACTATAAACCAAACAGAGTCAAATTCAAAATTTCTAAAGTCACAATTTTGATCACCGGCATATGCGAATTGCGCCCATAATTTGATACCCTAGCTCAGAAATTTTTGTGATTCTAATATGAGAATAAACAATAATTAAGTAAACTAAAAAAAACAGGATAAAAATTTAATTGGGAATTACACTAGAACAAGTAAATAATTACATACTGAAGAAGAGCTGGCTTGCCGCAATGAGCACAGGAAAGCGTCTCCGCCATCGAAACTTACGTTCACTACTTCTCTCCTTTTATGTGTAAGATTGAACCGTCCAGTTTAATTCAAATGAATGAGAATAGAACTAGTGAATTCAACTAAAATAAGGTTGACATACGAATGGGATTAAGGCCTTATTTGGTTCAAGAATATTTTGAGAGAAAAGAAAATGTAATCCATGGGTTTTATCGAAAAAAATGAAGGTTAAAATTTACAGTAGTAGACATTGTCTGTTTCCGCAAACAGCTCCCTTGAACTTCATGGCATCTCTCTCTATCTATCTATCTATCTATCTGACAACGTCGAGATCAAGTTCGGTTATGATAGACAATGAAAGAGGTTGAGAGTTTGAAGCTTCTGTCAAAAGCTAGAATCTTGGCTTGTAAACATCGAGATCAAGTCGGCAAGAGGAAGACGAAAATAAGAAGGAAACAGAGGAAACTTATAGGGCTTTGAAAATTTTTTTTTCTGTTTTAATTTTAAATGGGCTTGATATTCCGTCGGGTTTAACATGGATGATGTTGAAGTCTGGCCCAAAAAAGAATTTTCATCTTTTGGGCTTTTACAATCTTAAACTTGGGCTTATATATTTTTGCATAAGAAAATATATCAATTAATTAGTAAAATGGATGAGAAAACAATTTTCTGAGTGTGTGTCTATATAATTCATGTCTTTTCCAGGAAAAAAAATTATAATTCATGACTCTATGTCGGGATCCAACTATAGAAGGAAAATATCATTTTCAATCAAACCTTTCATGGAATTTTACAAGTACCCTTTCAATAATTGAATGGTCAGAAACCATTTGTTTAGCACAATTTGTTTGGAGTTGAAATTCTAGGACGATGGACGTTTGAAAGGTTTGATTTGGCAATGGCTTTCATCAAAGTGGCGTTTAGAATTAATATGTAAGCAAAAAGGTCCGTTGATATGGTAGAATAGATATGATAGTTGGTGCATTTGTGTTATATAAAATATTAAAATTTATGTATTCGTATTTTGTTTTATATAAAAATTACATATCATAATTCGTATCAATATAAAAATATAAAATATAAAAAAAATTAATTTATATATAATAATTATTATTATTTTAAATAATATCATCTTTTTATTTTATTTTTGTATTGTATTTATGTCGTGTTTTATATTATTATGTTAAAGCTAAAGGGTGAAAATGTAGTAAATGAGAGATAATTTGCATGGCCCAAAAATGGTTAGTTGTAGTCTCAAACGTGAGGGAACAGACTTCATTGTGGGATCATACGGCCATTTAGTTCAAATGTTGGTGATCATCCGTCCATGGTTTTGTCCCAAAGAAGTACATATTTAAATGATCAAAATTCAAAAGCCAAACCCTCTTCTATGGAATTAAGTGCAACTTGCCAGTAAAAAATCAAAATCAATTCTCAAGTCTGAATTAAGGCTGATAACGATGATGTTTAAGCAGTCTTCTTATGAATGGATGGGAATAATAAACTGACATGGATTACGAAAGTCAAACTGCATCATCCATGGTTGGACATTTGGATTAGTTTTTAACTCAGATATTCTCTCTAACACGTCACCAATTCATTTCATGTTGAAAAATTAACTGTTCCTCCCAATATAATACAAGAATTGTATCATCCAATGATCAGTATGTAGTTATTCATACATCCATCACTCATCAGACAAACAAAATTGAGTTCAAAACAATGGGTCAAACCAATCTTCTTAATTACTTTGATATATAATATATATATTTATATGCATAAGTAATTTTGATGTATTTTAAAAATTATTTGATTATGATCATAATTTATATTGAAATGTGTAAATATTTATCGAAAAAAAGTAAATTTAAATTTAAAACAATTGCTCAATTAAATTTTTTACGAAATATTGACTATGAAGCTATGATCGCTTTAAAAGTTGGTAAGCACTTTAAACCTTAGTTTGGATTCAATCATAGGTGTGCTGTAATATGATTGAACTCATCACATCATCAGTTAAACTCAAATATTAATTTCACTAAAATTCATTCAATATAAATTATTCATTAAAAATTTTTTTCAATTGCAATTATTGTAACTTTTTTTTTCATTCGCAATTATAATGACTTTTATCATTGTTTTCAATTTCATTGAAATTTATCTCACTGTTTATCAAAATACAACTACCATTTGAATGAACAGTGAGATTGACTTTAATGATATTAAAAAATAATAATAAAAGTTATTATAATTGTAATTAAAAAAATTAATATAATTGTATTTAAAAAATTTTTAAATTGTTCACGCAAAATGTTGTGAATATGTTACATATATATGTGCTTAGACTTTACCAAATTGAAGCGAAAAAACATGTGCCTTTATTCCACCCACAAAGGGTTAGCTCAATTGGTAAGACAAATTATATTTTATTTTATTTTTTCTCCGGGTTCAATTTTTATGAGAAAAACTTCTAAAGTAAAATTTTAATATATCAAATAAATTAGAATTAAAAATATATATTAAATAAAACCTAAAAAAATTCTTGGCGTTGATTGTATAGAAAAATAGTTACCCATAGCAATTAAATAAAGAATTGCAATGAATGATCCAACCATTATGACTTTTGATCATCACAAGTGCTACAGGGGAAGGCTTTTCTGTTATACATGGGATTAGACCCCTGTTAATAAGCTTCGGAGCTTCTTACTCGCTATAATCTAAAGAATATTTGCATGTAAATGAAAAAGTCAACTACGCGTTAATTTTTTTTCTTCAAGTCATACGTTTAGAGAAGGCAATTAACAAATTTTAATCCCAAAAACACTATAAAAACTACTTGCAAAGAGTCATCAAACCATTTGTGCTAATTAATTATTACTAGGAACAGAATTTTTTCGTCCTTTGGTACCCAAACATCAACCACCTCTTTGCTTAACATCTATATAAAGAGACCGAGAGAGCACTAATACCCTACATGAACCGTAACCTTTCCATCGTCCACTGATATGCTGAGATATAAAGACATTGGTAAGCCATCAATGGCACCTCCTCAATTTTTCATTTCAGTTTTCCTAGTGTCCTCTTTCCTTTTTCCGTTTGTTTTTGGCTATAACGCTAACAATGTGAGGTGATGGTGCAGCAAAACTCCCAACCCTCAACCATGTGAGTATTTTTTGAGTCAAAATCCAATAAAAACCACAATCAGAGATGAGCCTGATTTTCTCAAAATCTCCATGCAACTCGCTCTAGAGCGTGCCACAAGTGCACAAAATGACACGTACTTATTGGGCCCAAAATGCCGAAATGAGCTTGAAAAGGCTGCATGGGCCGATTGCCTTCAGCTCTATGAACTAACCATCCGCTTCCTCAATAAAACTGTTGATTCCAGCACCAAGCTCAACAAAGATGATACTCAAACATGGCTCAGCACGGCTTTAACCAACCTCGAAACATGCTGGACCGGGTTTATCGAACTCGGGGTCCCGGATTATATTCTACCCATGATGTCAAATAACGTGTCCAAGTTAATAAGTAACACTCTGGCTCTCAACAAGGCAACTTTCAAGGAACCAACCTACAAAGATGGGTTCCCGACATGGGTGAAGCCCGGTGACAGGAAACTGTTGCAGACTTCATCACCAGCTTCTAGTGCGAATATCGTGGTAGCACAAGATGGTTCAGGGAATTATAAGACGATAAAAGACGCGATATCCGCTGCTTCTAAGCGATCTGGGAGTGGAAGGTATGTGATCTATGTGAAGGCAGGTATATACACTGAACACGTTTGAGATAGGCTCCAATCTGAAAAATATTATGCTGGTGGGCGATGGTATAGGGCAGACGATTATCACCGGAAGCAAAAGCGTTGGAGGAGGATCCACGACTTTCAGTTCAGCCAGTGTTGGTGAGTAAATTTGGCTTGTCCCATGATTTTCTTTAGATTTGATATCGTGCACTTTGGTCGGAAAAATGACCTTTGAAGGACACGTACCTTTATTATGATGTCATTTACAGTATTCTGGGTGGTCCTTTCCCTCCTTGCTGCCTACTGGGCTGCAAATAGGGTCCGTTGAATTCTTTAATGACAAAAAATCACATTCACAGCTCAGTTTTTTCAAACTGTGGCCCAAGAATCGAGAAAAAGTCGTATGGTTTTTATGGTCTTAAACAAAATTATTTTAGTGGATAAAACACAGGTTGTTCTTATTAATAACGGCATTACCTAATTGGGTTTTTACCTTTCAATAAATTTGACTGAGGGATATTCAAATACGCAACAGATATAGGCTATAGGAGCTTAAGGAAACTTTTGAAAACTATATATAACAATGCATGAATAATCAATTGGTTTGATGTGATTTGATCGGCAAGTTCCTTTTGGTCAAATTGTAGATTGAAAATGAAAGAATGATGGACTAAAAGAGATTGTTTTTCCTTCTTGCAATGTGGAATTTCAGCTGCTGTCGGAGATGGGTTCATTGCTCGTGACATTACATTCAGAAACACCGCTGGTCCCAAAAATCATCAGGCAGTGGCTCTACGTTCCGGCTCTGATCTTTCAGTGTTCTATAAATGCAGCTTGGAAGGATACCAAGATACTCTCTATGTCCATTCCGGGAGGCAATTTTACAGAGAATGTGACATCTATGGAAGTGTTGATTTTATATTTGGGAATGCTGCTGTTGTCTTCCAAAATTGTAACATATTTGCACGCAATGCCCCTAACAAGACCAACACTGTGACTGCCCAGGGCAGGACTGACCCTAACCAAAACACTGGAATTATAATCCACAACTCTAGAGTTACAGCCGCTTCCGACTTGAGCACAGTAAAAAGCTCAGTCAAAACATTCCTAGGGAGGCCATGGCAACAATATTCGAGGACTGTTTTCATGAAAACGTTTCTTGATAGTTTGATTAACCCGGCTGGTTGGATGGAGTGGAATGGTAATTTTGCACTCAAAACATTGTATTATGCAGAGTATATGAACACCGGCCCTGGTTCATCCACATCCAATAGAGTCAAGTGGCCCGGCTACCATGTTCTTACTAGTGCAAGCGAGGCATCAAAGTTCACCGTCAGCAATTTTATTGCCGGAAGTTCTTGGCTGCCTGCCACTGGTGTGCCTTTCGCATCTGGCCTTTAGTTTGTTGCAATTATATATGTATAATATTGAATTAATTCAAGTACTACGGCAGGCAAACAAATAAATAATAGTTACGCAAAACAGTAAGGGAATGTTGTACCACAATGCTTCTTTCATACATAGTTGTCATTCTTTTGTGTAATCTTAATCTATGAATAATAAAGTTGAATTTCATTGTTTTGTGAGCGTACTGTACGGATTTTTAAATAATCTCTATCATTCTTTTTTCTTCCCCTTTGGATGATAAGGTTTTAGATAAATTGACAGCCAATATTCACTTATTTAAAGATGCATGCAAAGGCATGCCTGAAGTCC